TCTTGGTGATTTACAAGACATTCTTCATGCATATTATCTCATTTTACTTGTAAAACCATGTCAGACCATCTGTAAGAACGTGCTTCTTTTTAAGCATATGAAATATTCAGAGCAGTGATAACATCCAGTACTATCTGTAGTTAAGTAACTCTTATAGATTACTAAAATAAGTCCATAAAGCATCACAGTCATTTTGAAAATAAATTTGATAATTTCTATCAATATATTTAAAAGTGTTACTTTAATCCAATAATTCTTTGATTATTTCATAAGGAAATAATTCTAGATATTTGAAATCTTTAAATGTAAAAATAAAGTAGTTATGTATGATAACTATTCCTTCTTGTGCAGTTGGTTAAATAATTTTTGGTTCACTTACTTGATGAAATATTAGGTAAGTCTCAAAAATTCCTATTTCAAAGGACTATAAAAGGATGGGTGAATGCTTATATAACATTAAATTTAAAGTTAAAGAACACAGTGTAAATAAGTATAATTACAAAGAGAAATAAGAATAAAACAACCCATCAGTAGATTACAAAGGATAAGATCTTAAAAGAATATAGTAGACCTTTACTTTTAAGCACAACCAAAATTTTAAGTATTTTAGGAACATCTGAAGGTTTCTTGAAGTTTCTCTTGAGGCATGTATCTGAGTTGTGCTCTTTGCAAAATTATTGTGTAGGAGGGAGTCACTTTCATTGCTAAGTGTCTATAGCCAGCTGCCCAGTCCCTGTATGTCAGTTTTTGCTTTTTCTGTTCTTTCTCACATAAACATCCAGGAGGAGGATATATGCTATTTTGGTACTACTTGAGAATTTGAAGATTCGTAAATTTCTCAGGCATATTCATGTATATCCAATAATCCACTTGGCATTTGTGGCCTGTATGTTGTATGATTATATAATTTCCCCCCTTTTAAAAAATATTTTTCTGATTCCTAAAAAATTTTAAATGAGCATAATATATTTAGACGAGATCAGGCGTGTTCAAGGTGGTATGGCTGTAGACAGCATGATATATTTAAAAGACAAAGAAAAACCTTTATCCAGTTACCAGTTAATAGTCCTGGCATTAAACTCTTCTTTATGAGACAATACATTCAGTTTTTCTCTCAGAGTTTCATCTATTAACTTCACTAGATTTTCTACCTTTTTAAAATTGATTTAGAGAGAAAGAGAGAGAAAGAGGGTTGGGGTAGGGAGAGAGGAAAGAAAGAGAGAGGAAGAGAAAGAGAACTTCAGTTTGTTGTTCCACTTCAATTTATGTTCCATTGATTTGTTGCTTCTTGGGTGTGTCCTGACTGGGGACTGAAGATTGAACCCACAATCTTAGTGGAGCAGGATGATGCTGTAACCAACTGAGCTACCTTACCAGGGCCCTTCAGCTTTTTATTGTCTGGAAAGCTCTTTATCCCTCCTTTGATTCTAAATGATTACCTTGCTAAGTAGAGTAATCTTGGTTTCAGGTCCTTGCTTTTCATCACTTTGAATATTTCATGCCAGTCCCTTTTAGTCTGCAGAATTTCTCTTGAGAAATCAGCTGGTAGTCTTATGGGAGCTCCCTTTTAAGTAACTTACTGCTTTTTTCTTGATGCTTTTAAGATTTTCTTTGTCATTAACCTTTGGCATCTTAATTATGATTTGTGTTTGTGTGGGTCTATTTGGGTTCATCTTTTTGGGGGACTCTGTATGTGCTTCCTGGAATTGCATGCCTGTTTCCTTTACCAGGTTAAGGAAATTTTTAATCATTATTTCTTCAAATAGTTTCTCAATGTTTTGTACTCTTCTCCTGGTACCCCCAGGATATGAATGTTGTTATACTTGATGTTCCGGCAGTCCCTTAACTATCCTCATTATTTTAAATTCCTCTGATTGGGTGTTTTCTGCTACCTTGTCTTTTCTATCTTTCTTCTAATCTACTCTTCATTTCATCTAATACATTCTTCAATTATTGTATTCTTCATTTCTGACTGGTTCTTTTTTATGCTTTATTGCTCCTGTTTTATGTTTTCTCTCTCCTTTTTTTTGTTGCCTATTTCTTTTTTGTTGTTGTTGAAGTTCTCAGTGAGATTGTTTATTCTTCTCCTGAGTTCATTGAGCAACCTTGTTACTAATGTTCTGAACTCTGCATCTGGTGGATTGTGTCCATTTCATTTAGTTCTTTTTTCTGGAATTTTATCCCGTTCCTTGGTTTGGGACATACTTCTTTTTCTTTTCATTTTGGCTGTTTCCATCTGTTTCTTTTCACATATTAGTTAGATGGTTACATCTCTCACTCTTTGCAGAGAAGTCTTTATGTACTAGGTGTGCTGTGGGGCCCAGAGGTGCAGTCTCCCTGTTTACCTGAACCAAGTGCTCTAGCGGTATCTCTTCTGTGAGTTTTGTATGTGTGGTTGTTGTAGTTGAACCTTGATTTCTGTTGGCTTGTCAGTGGGTGGGATTGACCCTTAGGCTGACTGGCTATGAAGATTAGCTGTTGTGTGGGGGTTGATCCACTGAGCAGGATTTTCTTTAGCAGGGCTGTGGTGCATGCCAAGTCCACCCTTTGTGTATGTCATTTGTGGTACCAATTTGGTGATGCTCTGATGTGGTCTGAAACAACACTAGGTGTGTTGTTTCTAGGGCCTATAGGGAGGGGATATAGGGCAGGCCAGGTCAGTCACTGCCCGTGTCTAGCCTGGGTCCATCAGGTGGGAGCTATAAAGTGATCTGCAGTTTATAGCTCCTATACTGGGCTTTGAGACTTCTAGGATGTTTTGTGCTGTGAACCAGGGCCAGCTGCCACTATTGCCAGGATTGGGGCCACTCATTAAAAGGTACAGAGCATGCTGAAACCATCTGCTGCTTCTTTGGGTTTTATGGACCTTTGAAAGATTTTAGGAAAGTTCAAAGCAGAGGTCCAGCCTGGCCCACTGCTTGTGTGGATTAGCCTCTAAAAGCAGTTTGTCCTTGCCTTTTGAATTGGGTGGGACATGGTCTCAGAGAATCACCAGGGTGTGGTGAGAGGTGTTAGGCAGGTTAATGGAAACTTAGAGATGGCAGTAACCTGTGCCTGATAGCTATGTTGGGAGTACGCGCAACAAAGGAATAGTGGTGCCTGCCCCTCCAGCCCTCTTCCTCAAGCCAGGCAATTCATTTCCTCCCAGTGTATCCCTGACACTTTTCAAGTTGTTGTGGCTTCTCTGGAGCTTTAGGTGAATGTCTGTGATTAAGTGAGTCTGTACTTCAAGAGGATACCTGGGTCTACAGCAGTCCTTCATCTCACCTGGACAGAGTTCTGCTGATGTTCACAGCTGGATGTTATGGGAACTTCTCTTTCTAGCACTGGTGCTCAGTGCTGTGGAGCCTCCTGTGGGGCTTGAACCCCTCACTTACCATTAGGGACCTCTGCAGCTGAGAGATCCCTCCTGATTCTTAACCTCCACACATGGGTGTAGGACCAGCTCATTTAGTGTCTCCATAGGGCATTAATTTTAAATTGTTGTCATTTTATAGATATAAAAATAAGGCCCAGTGAAACTATATCACTTGACTGTGTTCACCTATTGAATAAATTTAGACTCTAAGCCCAAATGGTTTAAAGGCATTTTCAATATTCTTTCCCTTGTGATAGGCAAATGACCCATTAACTATACATATTTTTTTAAAAGGGTCATGGCTGAAGTACAGTTATCAATAACCACTCTTCACTTGCTCTTTATGTCATTTCCTTTTGTCCTTTTGTGTAGAACTAACTATATGGTATTCAGTTGGCAGATATTTGAGGGTCGCTAAGTGGTAAGTGTTGTACTGGATGCTTTAATGTAGTTTTAGTTAGGTAGTAGCTGACACCCGGTTTAAATAAGATATGATAATATGTAAGTGTTAGGGATATTTTTAAATAAGACTTAAATTTTAAATTCTAATTATTTATTTTGCCATGTCTAAGGTGTACTTTTTGCCCACATTTTTGAGGGGAAATAAGGATGTGCATTATACATGGGTATAATAATTACATACCGTGGGTATAATAATGAGTACAATAATCCCATGCACAGTGTGTACAAAGTGTGGGTCCACATTAAACACAGCAAAATATGGTAAGAAAAAAACTGAAAAACACATTTAATATTCTATTGAGTCATTGGAAAACAAAATTATCTAAATAAATTTTGTTAGAAATAATTTATCTTAATGAAATAGAAAATACAAGTTTTAGAATGGTGTGTAGGATACTTAATGAAAGCTTGACCTTTATTTGTAACATTTTAGTTAACCTAGATATGTCTAAGATTAAGCCAAAAAAATAAAAATAAATAAACTTCTCAGACTCTAAATGCAGAGACAACTGTTAACATTTTGGTATATATCTTTTCATACTTTTTGCTTTGTATACATAATTCTATGAATAGAATATGTATAATTCTATGACTAAAGTTTACAGAATTATAAATGATACATAATTATATAGAGTGAATTCCTCTGTAACTTTTCTCATTCGGTAATATCATGAAAGTTTTTCAGTGAGTCACTGAGAACTGCATCATCACGTGAACTAGAAGCATGCTAAGGGTTCTAGTTCGTAATTTATTAATAATTTTCCAAATGTACATTTATTCCAAATGTTTTGCTATTATAGGATAACTTTTTAAATCAGTCTTGCAAATTAAGAAATTTCTAAGATTATGAGGTTATTTATTTTCATTAAAATAAATTTGACACTACTTTTTATATAACGTATTGACATTACTTTGAATTTAAGATAATCATACTTTCTATTCTTGCTTTACTATTTTATTTGGAACATTTTGCTCTGGAATAAAGTTATTTATTGAGTAGAAAATGTGTAGGTATTTTTTAAAATACAGATTTTTTTTTTGATACAGATTTGAAATGGAATAGTGTTCAACAGCAAATCTAGTATTTTGAACAAGTTAGACCTGATGCTTTAATACCTTGATATGTATTTAATACTAAAATATTTAAACATGTTTGTGTTGTTTTTTTCTTTTTAAATAGATTATCTTTCTCAAGGAGTAGATCTTTCTGGAATTGAGGTAATAGAAAATGATCTACTTTTTATTGCAAGAGCTCGTCTTGAAGTGGAAAATCAAGCTAAACGCCTACTGGAGCAGGGTGTGGAAACTCAGGTAATAAAAATATCACCTTTTTAATGTGAAAAATATGCCATAATACAGATGAACATTAAATTTTGAGTTTACCAAAGCAATGCATATTTTCATTTTATCACTGAACTATAATTTGAATTGGGCATATAGTAAATACAGGAAAAATTATTTAATATAATTTATTTAATTCTAAATATAGAGTCTTTTAAAGGTTTCTAATGTATAATGTATATAATATGAAATATATTTTTATATAATGTATATATATGTAAATGGATAGTAACCTGTTGAGAATGCTTATTTTGTTTAAGGCACTGTTACTCATTTAAGCCTTTTAGCAGTCCAGTAAGGTTAATATTATTGTTATTTTTCTATTAAAACTGAGGCCCTGGCCGGGTGACTCAGTTGGCTGAAGCATCATCCTGTACACCAAAGAGGTTGTGGGTTCAATTCCGGTCAGGGCATATACCTAGGTTGTGGGTTCAGTCCCTGTTAAGGCATATATGGGAGGCAACCAATTGATTTCCTCTCTCTCTCTTTCCCCCTTTCTCTCCCTGCCTTCCTTCATGTCTTTCTAAAATTAATTTAAAAAATAAACACATATCCTCAGGTGAGGACTAAAAAATTTTTTTTAAATGAGGACACTGAGAGCTTAAATAATTTTTCAATTTTAGTTATTTTTTCATTTTTAATTACAGTTAATGTACACTATTATATTAGTTTCATGTGGATTATCTAGTGATTAGACACTTATGTTACTTCTAAATTGATTTCCCCAATAAATCCAGTACCCGTCAGACAACATACATAGTTATTACAATATTATTGACTATATTCCTTATGCTGTATTTTATATCCTCATGACTGTTGTATAACTACAACTTTGTATTACTTAACCCTGTCACCTTTTTCTTCCATCTCCCAAGCCACCTCACATCTAAACCATCAAAATGTTCTCTGTATCTATGGGTCTGTTTCAGTTCTGCTTGTTTATATATTTATTATTTTTATTTTTAGGTATGTTTTATTGATTATGCTATTACAGTTGTCCCATTTTTTTCTCCCCTTTATTCGCCTCCATGCTGTACTCCCCCACCATCATTCCCCCACCTTAGTTCATGTCCATGGGTTGTACATATCAGTTCTTTGGCTTTTCCATTTCCCATACTATTCTTAACTTTCCCCCTGTCTATTTTGTGCCTACCTGTTATACTTCTTATTCTCTGTACCTTTTCCTCCACTCTCCTTCCCCCTCCCTGCTGATAACCCTCTATGTGATCTCCATTTCTGTGATTCTGTTCCCCTTCTAGTTGTTTCTTAGTGACTGTTTTTGTTTTTTAGGTTCAGTTGTCAATAGTTGTAAATTTGTTGTTATTTTACTGTTCGTATTTTTGATCGTCTTCTTTTTCTTAGATAAGTCCCTTTAACATTTCATATAATAAGGGCTTGGTGATGAGGAACTCCTTTAACTTGACCTTATCTGGGAAGCTCTTTATCTACCCTTCCATTCTAAATGATAGCTTTCCTGGGTGAAGTAATCTAGGATATAGGTCCTTGCCTACCATGACTTTGAATACTTCTTTCCAGCAAGGTTTCTTTTGAGAAATGAGCTGATAGTTTATCTTATATTATCTTTTAAGGAGAGAATCTTAAAAGCAGCAAGAGAAAAAGAGACAGTTACCTACAAAGGAGTTCCCATAAGACTGTCAGATCATTTCTGAAAAGAAACCTTGCAGGCTTCTACAAGGGGCTGGAGAGAAGTATTCCAAGCCATGAAAGGCAAGAATCTACATCCAAGATTACTCTGTCCAGCAAAGCTATCATTTAGAATGAGAGGGCAGATAAAGTGCTTCTCAGATAAGGTCAAGTTAAAGGAGTTCCTCATCACCAAGCCCTTATTATATGAAATGTTAAAGGGACTTATCTAGGAAAAAGAAGACGATCAAAAATACGAACAGTAAAATAACAACAAATTTACAACTATTGACAACTGAACCTAAAAAACAAAAACAGTCACTAAGAAACAACTAGAAGGGGAACAGCATCACAGAAATGGAGATCACATAGAGGGTTATCAGCAGGGAGGGGTGAGAATGTGGGATAAGATATAGGGAGTAAGAAGCATAACAGGTAGGCACAAAATAGACAGGGGGAAAGTTAAAAATAGTATGGGAAATGGAGAAGCCAGAGAACTTATATGTACGACCCATGGACATGAACTAAGGTTGGGGAGTGAATGGTGGTGGAGTACAGGGTGGAGGGGAATAAAGGGAAGAAAAAAATGGGACAACCATAATTGCACAATCAATAAAATATTGAAATTTAAAAAAGAAAAATAAAGATTCTCTTCTTATCTTTAATCTTGGGTAACTTAATTATGGTGTGTCTCGGTATGTTTCTTCTTGGATACAACTTCTTTGCGACTCTCTGAGCATGTTAGACTTGTATGTCTAGTTCCTTTGCCAGATCGGGGAAGTTTTTCTTCATTTTTTTTTCAATATCTTGGTCTTCCTCTTCTCCTTCTGCCACCCCTATGATTCGGATGTTGGAACGTTTAAAGTTGTCCTGGAGGTTCCTCAGCCTCTCCTCATTTTTTTGAATTCTTGTTTCTTCATTCTGTTCCAGTTGAATGCTTATTTCTTCCTTTTGTTCCAAATTGTTGATTTCAGTCCTGGTTTCCTTCTCTTCACTGTTGGTTCCCTGTATATTGTCCTTTATTTCACTTTGTAGAGTCTTCATTTCTTCCTTCATTTTGGGACCGAGTTCAATCAATTCTGTGAACATCCTGATTACCAGTGTTTTGAACACTGCATGTGATAGGTTGTCTATTTCCTCATTGCCTAGTTCTTTTTTTAGAATTTTGATCTGTTCTTTCATTTGGGCCACATTTCTTTTTCTGAGCAGCACACATGTTACATTGTAAGGAACAGAATCTTAGTTGTTCACTAGGGCGTGGCAACCCAATTTGCTTGGTTATAGCACTATGTGGGGGAGGAGTAAGAGAGGGAACAATGCCTCTTGCTAGCTTGCTGGGCTCTCACCCTTCTTTCGATTACTTTGCTTGCTTCCAACTAGTGGATTGTGCCCTTTCAGGTGCTGATTTCCAGGTGAGTGGTCTTGTATACATTCTGGGACCCTGTGGGCCCCTCCATAGGACTCTTCTGTGAGACTGGATATTTCTCCTTCTGCCACAACACCCACAGGTTTTACAGGGAGAGGTTTTGAGACTTTATTTCCCTGTACTGGAACCCTGGGTTGCACGGTTTGTCTTGCTCCCATTTGTTCCTCCTGGCTTCTCTGCACAGGAATGTGGGGAATTCTCTTCACCACCTACCCCCTCGCCTGCCTCAGTCTGCCGCCATCTTGCCACACATCTTCTTTGCCCCAGCTGCCCATCTCCGCCCCTTCTACCAGTCAGGATAAATTTTTCTACTTTAACTCCTCGGTTGTCAGACTTTCATGCAGTTTGATTTTCTGGCAGTTCTGCTTGTTTTGGAGGTTTCAATTGGTTGTTATCCTTCTTTTGGTTATGTGAGGAAGCAAAGCATTTCTTCCTACATCTCCACCTTTGAATCCTCTTGTTTGTATTTTTTTTTCTTTTTAGATTTCACATATAAGTAAAATCATATCACATTTGTCTTTCTCTGTCTGACTTGCTTCTGTCAACAAAATACTTTCTAGGTCCATCCATGTTGCAGATGGAAAGAGTGTATTCTTTTTTTCCTTTATGACTGAGTCTTATTTCTTGTATATATGCACCATTTCTTCTTTATTCATTCATCTATTGATGGACATTTAGGTTGCTTCCATATCTTGACTATTGTAAATAATGTTGCAGTGAACTTACAGATGCATATGTTTTTTCAATGTAGTGTTTTGGGCTACTTCGGATAAATACCCAGAAGTGTAATTGCTGGGTCCTTCTTCATCTCTTCTTATACTCTTTGTTTTAAAATCTGTTTTGACTGACATAAGTATTGCTACCCCATCTTTTCTTGTTTGTTTCCATTTTTTTAAAATACATTTTTCCATTCCTTTATATTTAGTCTGTGTGTGTCTTTTGACCTGGAGTGAGTCTCTCATAGATAGCATATGGATGGGTCTTGTTATCTATTAAGTCACCATATGTGTTTTGATTGAAGCATTTAGTCCATTTGCATTTAAAGTAATTGTTGATAAGTGTGTGTTTATTGTAATTTTATTCATATTTTTGATATTTTTTCTTTCTTGTAGGCTTTTTGGGTTTCATCTTGTTTGAGACTCTCTGTGCTTCCTGGACTTGTGTGTATTTCTTTCACTCAATTAAGGAAGTTTTCTTTCATTATTTTTCAAATAGATTTCCAAACTTCAAAGCAAGGCTTGCTTCTGCTAATGCCAGGCCTGGGGTCACTTATTAAGATGTATGGGGCTTGCCAATGCGAGATACTGCTTATTTGAGAGATTTTAGGCAAGTTCAAGACAGGCAGTTTGTATAGAAAAGCCACTAGAAACAGCTTTGGTGGGCATTCAAGTTGGGTGAGGTTGGGGTCATAGGGAGTCACCAGTGCAGATAGACTAGCGTTAGCTGGGTTGATGGAGATTCAGCTGTGGTGCCTGTCTGCTCGTTGTGTGGTGGAGGACACAGCAATGGAACAGTGACCTCTGCCAGCACTTCTCTTTGGGAGAAGGCTATCCCTCCTGCCCTTGCCTTGAAGCTAGGCAATTCCATTCCTCTGTATATGTCCCTGCTGCCCTTTGAGGTACTGTCCTGGTGCTAGAGCTTAGAGGGAGTGAGTCCCATTTAGTACATGAGGGGGCCCTTTTTGAGAGATACACCTGGGTTTCCAGAGTCTTTTATTTCAGTCTGCCATAATCCCTGCTAGTTTTCACAACTGGTAGTTATGTGGACCTCTCTTCCTGGGTCTGGAACCCTGGGCTGGATTTTGGGATGGGGCTGGGATCTCTTTCCACTCAGGAAATACCTCCAAATCCAAGATATCCTTCCCAGTTTTTAATTACCACGTGTTTGGTGGGACCAGCCC